TAGCAATTACCTCAAAAGAATTTTGTGAGAGTAAAATGAGATCGTACATATAAAACACGTTGTAGATCTCAAAACTGTATACAAAAGCAAGCAGTTATAATTATTTTATTTTTGGAGGCAGTCAGGGTTAAGTGACTTGCCCAGGGTCACACAGCTAGTAAGTGTCTAAGGCCGGATTTGAACTCAGGTCCTCCTAACTCCAGGGCTGGTGCTTTATCCACTGCGCCATCTAGATGCCTCATGTTATTATTTTTGGTATTATCTTGTTTTAGTCTTCCCCATGAGGTTCAGATAGAAACAATCTTGGGGCAAGTCACTATCTTGCTGTTATTCTTCTGGAGATAGCTAGGTAACTTAGTGAATAGAGCACTGGGCCAGGATTCAGGAAGACCTGAGTTCAAATACTGCCTCAGATATTACCTAACTGTGTGACCCTGGGCAAGTCACTTTATGTCTCAACCTTAATTTCCTCATCTGTAAAATGTAAAATTAACACTGACCTCTCAGGGATGTTGTGAAGATCAAATAAGATATATATGTAAAACACTTTATAAACTTTAAAATGATGTATAAATTATAATTGTAATTTAATTATATGTAATTATATATAACGCGTAATTATAATTACCATAATCAATATTTTATGGGCAGTGGCAAAAGCAGATAAAATAACTGCTATTTGAGGTTGAATAAAAATATTGGGCTATAAATTCATCCTCTGTACATGCACTGAAAGTATCTTCACTTCTCTAGTAGCAGACTGGATGGCTGAGGATGGACCTCAATTCTATTCCCACATTTCCATTTACGTTCAGCTTGGAAATTATATATGTTTGGTATGGCAACATTTATTAAGCACACTCTTAAGTTTTTATGGATTAAGTTTACATCCAGATAATTATGGGCAACAGTTTGGCAAGTGATAATGGTCTGCAGGACAGCATGTTGGTTGAATTTTGTAGGATATTTTGAGGTTTGTATTCACAATGATTGTCAAAGTTGTAAACTTTTGATGTACTACTTTCAGCCATCAGGTCATATGTTGTTAGTTATTTGGTAGTTGCTGAATTTATAAGCCTGTAATGATGTGTTCCATACTTTTCTTACATAATCTACATTGATGATTAAATCTGGGCTCCGTAAGGACAATACAGCTACAGTTTCTATATATGCATGGAAAATGAACTTGATTTGGATATAAACTACTATGATATGTGTGTGGAAAAACAGCTTTTAGACGAGATTTTTGACAGTCCTGGAGAGAAAGTCATCTGTAGTATAGATTTGAGGACTTGGATCACTTTATTAACAATGTAGACTAATGTCTCACTTGTATAGGAACAGTTTAATATTATAAAGAGGCAGAGAAATATTTTATTTATTAAAAAATAGAGAAATGGGAGTATGAAGAAACACAAATTATAAGGGCACCAAAGAGACCCACTACTACATTGTTGGAGACTCCAGAGCGAAAGAATGATGAGTAGCTCCCTTAATTTACAGGCACTTGTTTTATCACTAAAGAGGGCAAATCGAAGAAAATGAGAAATCATATGAGCACTTGGAGACAGAGGTGTGGCTTTAAAGTGATTGCCAATTTGAGAGGAGAAATTTGGAGAGTTGTGACTTTATAAATGAAAGATGAGTCACTGGGAATCAGCAAGCTGTCATGAAAACTACTAAAGATAGGAAAAACACATGCAGCAGCAGCAGCAGGGAAAGAGGAATCCAAGAATGATAGACACAGCAGGGGTGTGTGTGTGTGTGTGTGTGTGTGTGTGTGTGTGTGTGTGTGTGTGTGTGTGTGTGTGTACACGTATTTGGTGCTGGTCTGGAAAGCTGCTTCCTTGGAGTGGAAGCAGTTAGAAGCAGCTGTAGGGACAGTGCTTTAGTTCAGCAATTTCTAATTGGTGGGACAGAGTTAATTTCATTGACCAAGTGCTCCAGCAACAAATTGGCACCTCGGGGAAGCTTTTCATAAAGTCTTGCTACTCTGCTAACACATCTGGCTTGAGAAGGAAAAATTGAGGGGTTTTCTGTTTGTTTGTTTGTTGGGTTTTTTTTTTTTTTTGCAACTGTTTTGGTACCCATTGAGTCAGATTAAAGAGTGAACTTGAATTCTGTTTCTGTGGGCTTTGTTCTGATTGGACAGTGCAGCATACAGGTGAGTGACTAAGTGGCTGGAATGGTCTCTGTTGTCCGGCTCAACTTAAATGTGGCTCACTTAATAGGACCTTAATCTGAATAGCCCTTTTTCCTATCACGGGACAGGATTATTCCCCAAGCTAACCTAGACAGGTAAGGGCTTCTCCTGAAGATATACAAGGAAGGATCCCAACATCTGCTCCATGTTGCTGAGAAGCTTTCCAAAGCTTGTGTTATATTTGAGCCAGCTTCCTCTGGTCTAGCCCCTTAGTGGTCATGAGGAAAATGGCAGTCATCAATCAGCTACATAATATGCCTTTGTGGATTTGGGGGTTTAGGTTCTCTGCCTCCCTCACCCCCTCAGACTTCTTTTCTGCGGGTCAAACTGCTGCATTTTTTAATTCATTTCAACGAATATTTTTAAAGCACCTCCTGTGTGCAAGACGTTGCAGATAAAAAGACTAGAACAGAATGGTCCCTGCTTTCAAGGAACTTATGTTCACTGGACAACAACAACAGCAACAACAAAACCCAACCTTGCAGACTGATAAGTAAATTCAAAATTTGTACAAAGTAAAATGCAAAGTGATAATGGGGGTGGCAGAGGGGAGAGAACACTAAAAACCCATGGAGGATGAGAAAAAGCCTTGTGTAGCAGGTGGTATTACGGGTGTATCCTGAAGGGAGCTACGGATCTCGAGAAATAGAGGTAAGAAGGGAGAGCATTCCAGGTAAGAGAGGAAGCCTGTATAAAAGCATAGAGATGGGAGGTAGGCCCCACCAAACCTGTGGGGCCACAAGATCAGTTTAGCTGGAACATAGAGTTGAGGTGGAGGGCAGAGTAAGATTTTAGCAGTATGGAACCATACATTGGATTCAGATTATAAAAGATTTCAAAAACCCAGAGAAGTACTTGGAGCCAGTTGGTGATTTGAGTGTGTTATGAAACCAGCTGAGCCGAGGATTCCAGAAAGAGTAGGAGGACCTTGAGCACTTCCTCTTTGCAAGGCCCACTGGCTTTCTGTCTCTGTTATATCTGCCCTATGCCTTACTGGGAAGCTTGAAAGGGACATTCAGGAAAATCAAGCTGAATGATGCTCTCAGAATACCTCAAAGGATGTGTGGGGAAGTTGTTCTGGGTCTGCTCGTCCTGAGCTCTGTCCTCCATGCTGCTGCTTCTGTTTCCTCAGGTACAGGCTGGCTGAGGTTCTCTGGGGAGGTGAGTGTGGCGGTGTGGGAGTGAGAGAAGCAGAGGCAGGTCCCTGGGCTACTGGAGCAGGTATATATAGGTAGGAGGAGGGGACAGGGCTCCCTGCTGCAAGACCACTGGGGTGAAGACTGGGACTTCAGAGCCCAAAGTCTGCACAGTGGCCCAAGGCAGGCTCTCTTGACTCCTGTGCAGAACGAAAAGGAATGAGGCATAGGGGACCATGAACCAAATGGAAGCTGTGCCACCATGGGCAACCAAGGCAGGTCCATGGCTATGACAGAATGAACAGAACTGTGTCTCCTGCCCTATTTCCTTTCAGGCTCAAATGCTATTTCTCAGCACTAAGAGAGAATGGATGCTGGAGTTGAAGGCTTATTTCATCTTATGCCATACTGCCTTTATGTGAGACAGAGAAAAGGAAATATACCCAACAAACACAGTATATAATTATGTAGGAACAGGTCAAAACATTTGTTGCATAATATAAAGAGGAGCTATACTCCTCTACCACTTTCCTATCCATTTCTACCTCCCCACCTCCAACATAAGCTCTTACTTTCTCTGCGTTTATTGTATCCCTTCCACTCACTATCCTAGACCTGGTTCAGGATCTTGCTGTGCCCTTTTTGATATTAGAGAAGTAGTGATTCTTTTTTTTTTTTTTTTTGCTAAGCAAAATCAATACATGTTGCTGGTCCCCCTAATCAAAAAGTAGAGGTTGGTCTGGGTGAAGAGAAGCTGTCTGCTTGTTAGGGTGGTGGCTCTGAGCAATGGGGAAGGAGGAGGCATTATCCTCTGCTGGTGCAGGGTACCAGAGCCCAGGTTGCCCTCTCCGGGCATAGCCTTCTGATTGTACTGAGCAAGATTATAGGATCATAGAATAGTAAGGGACCTTAGAGATCATTAAACCCACCCTAGTTATTTTTATAGGTGAGGAAACTGAGCCCTAGAAAGATTAAATAACTTTCCCAAGATCTTGTATGTTCTGCAAGCTCTAAATGCTATAATGCCATAATGAAACCCATCTGTAGGAACTGTGTGTGAGGGAGGGGATAGGGACAAATCCTGTGATTTCATTGATGTAGGGAAGATTCAGGGAAAGAATACAGGTTGGCACCTTCTCTGCCACTTATTGTCTTAGGTTGTTAACTATGACACTGAGAGATAAGTGATTTGCCCAGGGTCACCCAGCCAGAATGGTACTTGAATCTAGGTCTTTTGGGGTTCAAAGGTCAGTTCTCTATCCACTGTGCCATGCTGCTTCTATATGAGACAGAAAGGAAAAAATATACTCAAGAAATATAGTATATGATTATGTAGGGATAGGTCAGAACATTAATTACATAATGTAAAGTGGCAAGGATTGTGGTGAGGAACCGAGCTGGGGGATAATCTGGAAGCACAATGGGAAGGAGTATAGGTATAAAGCTGGCCCCAGATACTGCCTGCTTCCTCATTCACAGATTATATCACTGATCCTGTTGCTTTGCTGGCTCTGCTGTCTAATTTGGTTCATTTTACTGTTCAGCCCAAGAGTACCTCTCTGCTTTCTAAATGAAGGTATTTGTTTTGGGGTATGTGCATGTCTAACTGGGAGAGATACTACCTAGATGTAAAGTGTCCCTGAACAAGGTGAGAATAATACCTCTGGAAGCCCCAGTTGTCACAGATTGTAAGGGTGCCAGGATCAATGGGGCTTAGTTGAGTAGGAAGGCTCTCCCTCTGTCTCTGGTCCTTCCCATCAGCCCCCTTGTGTCTCTGTGGCACCTGGTCAGTCGAATCAACTCTTCTTCCTATGTTAGACATCCTGCCTTGGTGATACCTGTAGGGAAAGACCAAAGCGAAACACAGCAAACCCTGATACTAGTCCGCTGTCTCAGAAAGAAACTGCGTTGCATTGGAAGGTGGAGGTTCTTGTCCAAATTTTACCACTGTTTGCTAGGTGACTTTGGCCTGCTCATTTAACTTCCCCTGGCCTTGGTTCCCTCATCTTTAAAATGAAGGGTTTGGATTGGATCATCTCTAAACTTCTTTCTAGCTCTAAAAGGTTTTGCAGAAGGTTTTGTCATATTACTTTGGAAAAAAAAGCAGCATGGAGCCTCCTTCCATACCTTCCTTGGAGGAGTGTCTGCTTCTGAAGTAGAGCAGGGCCATTGCTGAGTAGTAGACTTTGGGGTAAGTGTGCCTCACACCACCAACCAGAAGTCACAAAGTGAACTCTCTGAAGTTCTACTTCTGTTCTATCCCAGGCTTGGTAATTGTGGGGACAGGAACATGGAATACTTATGGGGTTGGGCAGGGAAGAAAGGATGATGAGGAAAAAATGGCATTTGTGTAGGTTTGCAAAGCACTCTACACACATGTACACACTCATCTGAGACTTACAAATACCCAGTGAGGTGTAAATAGCCCTAGTATTATTATCCTCATTTTACAGATCAGACAATTGAGGACCAGAGATACAGAGTGGTTTTGCCCAAGTTTATCCCTACACTAATAAGTGAAAGAGCTAAGACTTAAACACAGGTATTCCAGTCCCTAGTCCAGTGCTTATTTCAGAAAGAATTTTCCGTTATCCCAGATTCCACCTTCTCCATTGCCAGTCTCAATCCTCAGAAGTAAAACATCAATGTAAGAGGTATATATATGTTGCCTAGCATGCATCTTTGCCTGAAGTCAGCCCTTCTGACCAGAGCACCATGGTGCTATCTTTGTGCTGGGGATCATCTCAGGTTGTTTGGATATAATAACCATGAGAGGCTGTTGCTAGGCACAGTGGTTTTGACTCTGTGGCAGTAACCCCATGGACTGATGATGTTTAACCTAAAGAAAGGCAGTGTTTTCCCTAGTAAGAGCTCTCTTGTTCTTTCCATAGGCAAAATTAACATAGTAAGCCTCTAGTGCAGATGTTCTTAACTGCAGTTGGTGAACCTCATGCTGCTCCCAGAATGATCCCTCAGGGGACCTGTGGGTTGATTTCAGGAGGTTCATGAACTTGGATGGGAAAAATTGCACCTTCATTTTAACATAATTGGTTTCCTTTGTAACCCTACGTTTATTTTACACATTTAAAAACATTATTCTGAGAAAGGATTCATAGGCTTCATCAGACTAAAAAAGGGAGCCATGACACGTAAAAAAGTTAAGAATCCTTGATCTAGTGAGTTCAAGGCTACGATCCTAAGAAGCCCTTGGTTCTTCCCTCATTGCGACCATTTTCCCAGTGCTGCATGGTCTAAAGTTGGGATGATTGCTTTGAAATCCTTTCCAAACAAGGAATTCTCAGCTGAATTCCCAAATAGAAGCCCCACAGATGAATGCCTTACCCAAAGTCCCCTGGATGGCCCAAAGGACAGATCAAGGATCTGTGAAGGTTCTAGCTAGATAATTTGATTTGAGTAGCTGCCTCTGCTTTCCCAGCCTGTCCTGGCCTGGGGGATTGCATCTCCCTTAGCATCTGTTAACTATCTCCTCCATTTGGGTGACTTGGTTGAAAGCCTCCCTATGGTGAGGGACATTCTTTGACTTAAGGAGGTGAACATGTTCCAGTGTATTCAGGAGTGAGGTGGGGATGGTAAGGAGCAAGAAGAAGACAATGCCTCTTCACACCACCCCAGTGGGGAGGGCAGGATCCCTCCTCAGTCTTCAGACTTTCCTCTTGCCCAAACAGTAGAAGCTACTCACCTCATTTTGTTAATTTGGAAGGGTGAGGATGAGAGAGGAAGAAACCCAAACCAAAATGGAAAGGTCTTCTACTTGATTTTTTTTCTTCTCTCACAGAGCATCATTGTTCACCGCTAAGTGGCTTTGGACTTAGGGAGAAGTAAGATTGCTTGAATTTGGCCTGCCTTGATGAAGGTAGAGGGTTCAAACCAAGACACATCCTGAACTGAAATAAGCAGACCCTCTTACATCTTTGCAGTAGAAAGAACACTGGTTCTGGATTCAGAGAACCTAGGTTCAAATTCCAAGTCTGATGCTTATTTCCTGTATTACCTTGGGCAAGTCATTTAACCTCTGGGCCTCAGTTTCCTCATCTGTAAAATAAGGGTATTGGACTAAATGGTTTCTGAAGCCCCTTCCGGCTCTAGATTTGTAATTTGTAATTCCATGACCAAAACAGCAAAGTGAGCCTTTGGAATTTCTGGAGTTAAGTTGGTGCAATATTTCTTTCCTTTTTCTTGTCTTAGCTTGTTGGGTGGGATGTGGGTATGTCTGAAGTCCTCATGGTAAGGAATTGAGGCTTCACATATGGAAACAGTATTAGAGACCTGAAAAAATCGAACCATAGTCATGGATGGGTGGGAAATGTATGGTGGTGGCTGCGCATCAGTATAGCTGTTGCAACTGATGTTGTGGTTATAATCAGATCTGCCTGACCTATAATATAATTCTGATAATCCTTTTCATCATTCAGCAGGGCAGGACCATGGACAGTGCTGGGGACTAGGATTGGAAGGAGTCTGAGTTTGTTTAAAATCTGAACTAAAGGTAGCTGATCCACTCTGGTGTTCTGTTCTTAATCCATCAAAGTCTCGCCTAAACAGTGGAGAAAGAGGAGGAGGAAGAGGAGGAGTGGTCTGAATTTCTCCACTGTGTGGTGCTGTTGAGGCTTGTTGAGGCTTCAGTTAAGACACTTCCTAGGATGAGATGAACTATCAAAGTTTCCAGGAGTCATAGGATCATAGCTCTGGAGTGGGAAGAGACTCCGGAGGCCGTTTAGTCTAACCTATCCATCCCCGTCACCTTTTACAGACAAAGAAATCAAAGCCCAGGGAAGTAAAGGGATCTGTTGTCGTTTAGTCACTTGCCAGTCGTGTCTGACTTCTTTACGACTCCATTTGGGGTTTTCTTGGCAAAGATACTGGAGTAGCTTGCCATTTCCTTCTCCAGTTCATTTTACAGATGAGGAAACTGAGGCAAACAGTGGAGTGACTTGCCCGAGGTCACACAGCTAGTGTCTGAGGCTGGATTTGCATTCGGGTCTTTCTGACTCCAGACCCAGTGTTCTATCCACTGCAGAACCCAGCTACCCTGTTGAGGGGTTTGCCCAAGGTCATACAGTTATTAAGTAACAGAACAAGAATTTGAATCCAGGTCCTCTAACTCTGGAGCCAGTGGGTATATCAGAGAAGTGTACTCTGGGAGTTCATATTACTGGCTATATTCAGAAAGTCCAAGATCCAGTGAGACTGGAGGCAGCACAGTGGAACACTGAGTATGAAGTCAGAAGGTGTAGATGCAAATTCTGGTTCTGTTACTTAATATGTGGCTAGCTTTGGGCTGGCTGTTTCTCCTTTCTGGACTCAAACTCAATTTCCTCACCTATAAAATGAGAGAATAAGACTAGAAATTTTCAAAGGTCTTTTCAGAGCTGGAAATTCTGTGAACTTGGTTGAAGGGTAGAGGAAGTAACATACTTGTTCTTGGCTCAATTTTTCCACCTTTCACTGTGGTGCTTCTTATAGTCATGAAGTTCTCTGGTCTCTTTTGTGTGGGCCCTCCCCCGACAACTCCTATAAACTGTTCACCTGGTTGTAGGATAGTATCACTGCTTCCATTGCTGTGCCAAAGAATGCTAGCATCTGAGTTCTTTCAAGGCAACAAGGTGACTCAATGGATAGGATGGAATCTGGAATACCTGAGTTGAAATCCAGTCTCAAATACTAGTTATGTAACCCTTTGCAAGTCACTTGAGCTCTGTTTGCTTCAGTTTCGTTAACTGTAAAGTAGGGATGATAATAGCACCTAAGTTGTTGGGAGGGATGAAATAATATTTGAAAAACCTAGTACACAGTTGTTATTGTTGTTGAGTCATTTTTCAGTTGTGTCCAACTTTTGTGACCCCCATTTGAGGTTTTCTTGGCAAGGATCCTGGAGAGGTTTGCCATTTCCTTCTCCAGTTCATCTTATAGATAAGGAAACTGAGGCAAACAGGGTGAAGTGATTTGCCCAGGGTCACACAGCTAGTAAGTGTCTGAGGCCAGATTTGAACTCACAAAGAGGAGTCTTTCTGACTCTAGGCCCAGTACTCTATCCACTTCATCACCTAGCAGCCCCCTACTGGTACATAGTAGGCTCTATTCAACAGTGGGGAGCCTGCGGCCTCGAGGCCACATGTGGCCCTCTAGGTCCTCAAATCCAATTTGGATTCAGTCAAAGGGCCGCACTTAAGGACCTTGAGGGCCACATGTGGTCTCAAGGCCTCAGGGGTGGGGAACCTGTAGAGTCTATGTAAATACTAGTTATTATTATTATTCTACCCCCAAAGGCTTAGATCAGTTTGCTAGATGTCCTGGAACTCACTTCTCCCAATGTGAGATACTTACATGGCCTGAGTGGTCATAGAGCTGCTCCTCAGCCCCTTCTCTCGCAGGCAGCATATGATAAAAGAGATGCAGACGGTGAAGATGATGGCACCACTGATGAGAGAGACAGTCACTGCCCCTTGGGAGCCATGATTAGGCGACTTGGGGATCCCTGGGATGAAGACGACATAAGGAAACTTGAGAGGGTGCCACCAACATGGCCAACCCAGCCATGGCATCGTCTGATGCCACAGGACATATTTCTTACCCTCCTCACACTGGGGTTCAGGATGACTCCAAATTGTACCATTGTCCCCCAAGAGGCAAATCATTGTTCTGCTTCCTATGAGCTGATAACCCACTTGGCAGGAGAAAACAACCACTGAGCCTGGGGAGCAGCCTGAGCCTTTCTCCAAGTTGTAGAAGCCAAAAGGAGGAGGGAGGAGCCTGGGGCACTGGGCTTCTAGAGAGACTAAGGAGATGGAAAAAATTAGACACCAGCCTCAGAGCTGGGACTCTTCCTCCCAGTTTTTCTGGGAAAATCCCATTGAAACAACTGTACAGAACATCTTATTCTTTCACCCACTGAGATTTTGCTATTAAAAAAAAATAACTAGTTGTTAAAAGTTCCTATATCTGGTTGCCAAGGCTGGAAATAAATACAGTGAACACCCTCTCCAGAAAATCACGTGTTGTAGAAGACTTACTGTTAGATCATCAAGTGCTCTGTTGCTGAAGGTGCAGTTCCACACAAAGCCAGAGCTGAAGGAAGGAAACTTAAAGATCATTTAGCCCAGTCCCCTTTTTTTACAGATGAGGAAACTGAGGCCCAGAGAAGGTGAGTGGCTTGCCCAAAGTCACACAGATAGTAAGTGGAAGAAGTAAGATTCAAACCCTGGTCTTCTAATTCCAAGTCCAGTGCCCTTTCCATCTACCATGCAGGGTAGCCACTGAGAGCTTCTTTCTGTTCATGTTTTTACATTAAAAATGAAATGCAGGGGCAGCTGGCTGGTGCAGCGGATAGAGCACCGGCCCTGCAGTCAGGAGGACTTGAGTTCAAATTCGGCCTCAGACACCAGCTGCGTGACCCTGAGCAAGTCACTTAACCCCGATTGCCTCCAAAAAAAATTTAAATGTATTTGACCCACATAAGCAATAGAAAGCCTCCCTCACACCATCTGAGCCCCATGGAACAACCTGCCTTTAGTACCCCTCTACTACTACCCCATTCAAACCACTATTTTTTGCATTTTTAACCCCTATTTCCTTCATGAAACTATCTACCTCCATAACAGGCTAAAACATGTACTCTCCCACTCCCCACCAACCTTCACCCCCAGCCAATATAGCTCCTTTTAAATATCCCTGTCTCCAGGGGAAAAGGCATATATTGGTATTGGTTCTGTTACCTCTGTGATTCTCTAATATAGGTTGCTGGATTTGGAGGTAAAGGACCTGCATTTGCATACTGTGTGACCTAGGGCTAACCATTTCCCTTTCTGGGCCTCCATTTCCTCCTCTGTGAAATAAGGGGTTGGACTCGTGATCTCTCAGGGCTCTTCTGTCTCTGAATCCCGTGATCTTCCGCTACCCAGTCAGTATGTCACTTGCAGCATTCCCGTCCATCTGGGAGCTGTATCCGAGCTGCCACAACTCTTGGTTCAGTGACTGGCCCGGAACTAAGGGCAGCCAGTTGTCTAAAAGTTGGTCTCTGCCTTTATTAAAACCCACGAAACTTGAGCTGTTTTATAGTCGGTGCTTTGTCTGCCTACCACCTAGATTTGAACATCACTAACACTGTTCCTCTTTTCTTTCCCCTTCTCTTCTCTCAAAAAGACCCTGTGGTTTGAAAGGGTCCCCCTTGGGGCTCCCACAAAATTTCATCACACTAGGCAGTCAGGGGGAGGATCCTGAGGCTTAAATAGTTGAATTCCAACCTTACCTGAAAGATTGCCTTGAAAGCAGGTTACGCGGCTGGTGTTCTTCAGAAGTCCTCTTTTCATGTCTCTGCCTTTCCCAGCAGCAGCTTCAAGGGTTCTACCTGTAAACCGTCCGAGAACTGACTGTGGTTCAAAAGCCCTCGCATTCCTTGGGAAAGGATTGTGGAAGGAGGAGGTGACAAGAGGATTCTTGTGTTTCTTGGTTTCGGAACAAGCTGCCCTAAGGGGATTTGACTGAGACCTCTGAGTTAACCATTCCCTCAGCAGGCTTAATTTTGTCTCTCCAGACCCGCAGTCTCTATGGATTATGGTTTTTGTTGTTTAGTCGTTCAGTCACATCCCACTAGCATTAATCAGACTGTGCCCCTTGCCCACCATCCTCTTCATTCATCCGAGTTAGGCCAGAATACATTTCTTCTCTAGCAAACACATCTCCTTCCTACTCTTCTGATGGCATTTTATTTAACTCATTTTATTGAAGCCTGGAGGAAAGAAGAAGAGAGGATAAAGGAAGGCAAGATGAATTCCTGAGGCAGGGTGGAGTCGTGGCTAACACGCTGGATTTGGCATCAAGAAGACCTGGGTTCAAATCTTGCCTTGACATTTACTAGCTGTGTGGCCCTGGGCAAGTCACTTAATCTTTCTATGCCTCAGTGACCTCATTTGTAACTCATTTCACCTCAGGAGATAGAGTCGGACTGGATGATTTCTGAGGGGCTTTCCAGCTCTAAATCTGTGATCCCTTGGGCACATAGAACATCAGGGTTAAACGGGATCTGAGAGCACCAACTTCAGGTCCCTTTTTGAAGAGCATTATAAGGCTGGCGAAGCACTTCACAGAGCAACTTGCTGCCTGAGTTTCCACAACTAATTGTTGTTTAGTCATTTTTCAGTCATGTCTAACCGTTCGTGACCCCATTCAGAGTTTTCTTAGTAAGAATACTAGAGTAGTTTGCCATTTCCTTTTCCACCTCATTTTACAGATGAGGTAAACTGAGGCAAATAGGGTTAAGTGACTTCCCCAGGGTAACACAGCTAATAAGTGTCTGAGGCCATATTTGAACTCAGGAAGATGAGTCTTCCTGACTCCTGGCCCAGCATTCTATCCACTGTGCCACCTAGCTGCTCTCACGGTCAATTAGGATCTGAGTTAGGCTGAGAGCTCCTGATTCCCAGGCCCCTTTGCTTTTCATACTCTGCCACAATTCTGAAAATTCCTTTTGGTGGGGTGAGACTCCTGCTTTTTCGCTAACCTGTGGGGCTTTCCAAGATGCCCTCTTGATTCTGTTTTCATCATCTGGATCCCCAGACCAGAAGCTGAGTGACCAGGAAACAAATGACTCACCCACTAGTTTCTTAGTTTTTCGATATTTGTCTCCCTTTCCTTTTTGATCTCCAGCATGTGCTTTTTTCCCTTTATTTCACATCTCAGAGGTCATTTTTCACCAAACTACAAGGCCGATTAGGATGCAGTGGAATTCAAAGGATTTATTAAACCACGTTCTCTCAGCCCTTCTAGCAGGACCCGTGGGGCTCTTCCTTATGGAGGGAATTACTTTTAAGCAATTAAGAAAGGGGCCTCAGCCTGTACCCAAAGAAAAGATGAGAAAATGCACCTATCTCCCTTCTTGGCAGGGGTGGGTTACTATAGGTTTACAAATATATTATTAGACAGTAGAAGTGTTGGTTAGCTTTGCTGAACTTTTAAAACATTTTCTCTTCTTTTTCTTCTCTTCTGGCTTACTGAATAGGAGCAGGGAAGTATATGTTTGGAAATGAGGTTGATGTTAAAAGAAAAGATCTAAATGAATTATGATGAAAAGAATTGGAGTCTGAGAGAGTCCCCATATCCATTTGGTAGGCATTGAAATAGTTCCATGTGCACCCTAATCAGGGCTGGGAGGAATATACTTCCTAATATTAGACTGTGGGCTTCCTGGGGACAGAGTCCACGTCTAATCATTAATATGTATCCAAAGCCCCTTAGGCTACTATGCACCTTCTTGATCTTGGGGGTCATGGGGACATTTGTGAGCTTAGATAGTAGAAAAATCTGATATGGCAGATATTTCCCCCCCTCTTTGCTACTTGGGCAAAAAATGCGCCCACTTTATTAAAAAAGAAAAAAAGGAGCCTTATTCTCTTGATTTATAAACATGAGAGAGTTAGAGTGGATCACTTTAGTGATCCCTTTCTGCTCAAATATGTCAAGAGCCAGGGGAGTCTAGTGAAAGACACATGGACTTAGACTTTGAAGACATGACTTCAAAGCCTAGTATGGCACATTCTAGCATGGCAAGTCATAGGAAAGTCATCACCACCTTGAGCCTCAGTTTCCTCATCTATAAAATGGGGAGAATGTTACTGGCATTATTATATAGTGGTAATCCCATCCACCCCATCCACATGTTGAGGTGTTTTTCCCGGAAGAGGGATGAGTTGCATTGAACCATCCATGTTCTTCTACCAAGTTCCCCTTATGACTAATGAAAATTGGCAAGCCAGGATTATGGATGTGGTACAAGGATCTTTTTGCTCTGTCACCAGGGCAAGAATTGGACCTATGACTTTGGCATTCTTTAGAAGGAAGGAACTAAGAATTTATATAGTACCTACTATGTGACAAGCACTGTGCTAAGTGCTTTATAAGCATTGTCCCATTTGTTCCTCACAACAACCCTGGGAAGTAGGTGCTGTTATCTTCATTTTACAGTTGAGGAAACTAAGACAAGTCAATGACTTGCCCAGAGTCACACATGTAGTGAGTATCTGAAGTCAAATTTGAACTCAGGTCTTCTTAACTAGTTATAGTCTCAATGCACTATTCACTGCATCACCTTCTTAGTTTCTTGCTTTAACTAACTGAACCAACATGTTGTTATAATACCTTAGAGTTATATAGGGACATCGAGGTGGCATGGTGGTTAGAGCACCGAGCCTGGAATAAAGAAGACCTGAGTTCAAATCCAGCCTCAGACACTAGCTGTGTGACCCTGGGCAAGTCACTTAACCCATTTGCCTCTGTTTCCTCATCTATAAAATGAGCTAAAGAAGGAAACAAACCATTCCAATATCTCTGCCAAGAAAACCCCGAAGCGGATTATGAAGAGTTGGACACAACTAAAAACAACTGAACAACAAAATAGTCACATAGAACTTTCCCCCCTTCTCTGTAAAGTGAAAATAAAAAAAAATCTTCCCTAGCCCCCTGTATAGATCAGCATTGTCATGAGGATCACATGAAAACAAAACAAAACCATTTTGTGCTTTTCCTCTTGGGAAAATGACTCGCATAGAAAGTCCTCTTTCCAGAGAAAGGAGCGTGAGTGCAGAAGAGTCACTAGTGTCGTCTCCACCTACAAATGTGAGCAAGTGAGCAACGTCTTAGTCCAGTGCCTAACAGCTCAGACCACATTATAGAGGGAGTCAACCCACTGCCAAGTGCTTGGATTAGTAAATCTCTTGGATTCCGCTCTGTCCAAATCAGGTTGGTAGCTCAGTGACAGTGAGAGAAAGGAGATTGGGCACATGCTGGGAGGCCCGGGAGAAAAGGACGTGAAACAATACAGGAAAACTGTCTTCTGGGGGCCAGATGCTTGTTTCTTGGCCATTCAGCCTCTTGTCTGGGGAATCCAGCTGATGGTAATCTTGGGAAGTCCGTGAAAATGCAGCATCACAGCCCTCCTAAAAGGAACCACGTAGTGAAGAGGGGATATCAGTAGACTTGGGCTCTGGTCCTAGCTCAGATACTAACTAGCTTTGTGGCCTAAGTCAAGTCACCACATTTCTCAGGCTTACTCACTCAATTTGTGAACATGAGAGCCCTGTGATCCCTTTCAGCTCAAATATGTCAAGAGCCAGGGGAGTCTAGTGGAAAGAGTCTTGAACTTTGACTTTGAAGACATGGGTTCAAAGCCTAGTAAGGCCCATGCTAGCATGGCAACCTTAGGAAAGTCACAACTTCCTTAATTAAGTCTTAGTCTTCTCATCTATAAAATGGGAAGAATGCTGTCGGCACCACCTGCTTCCTGGAACTTTGGTAAGGCTCAAATAAGATTGTGTTTACAAAACTTTTTGCAAACTTTAGAACTCTAGATAAATACCAATTGTTGTTGTTGCATTATTATTATAGAGGAGCAGCGAGGTACAGTGGATAGAGAGGGCCACCTTCAGACTAAGAAAGATGTAGGCTCAAGGCCTTCCTCTAGTCCTTATTGCTGTGTGACTCTGTCCAAGTCCCAGTCTCTCAATGCCCCAAGCCAGGGGTGGGGAACCTGCATTCTCAAGGCCACATGTGGCCCTCTAGATCCTCAAGTGTGGCCCTTTGAACAAATTTGTTCTGTAAAGTTTGGATTTAGTTAAAAGGCCACACTTGAGGACCTAGAGGGCCACATGTGGCCTTGAGAATGCAGGTTCCCCACCCCTGCCCCAAGCAGTAGTGGAGAGAGTTTTCAAATTTGGAGGTCTCTTATTCTTCTGAAATCACATGTCTGGGCAAAAAACAAACAAATAAATAAATGTATTACATATAATTTCTACTTAAATTATCCATATTCACTTATATTATTATTACTGCTATAATTACTACTATAACTTTTGCAAGTATTACTGTTTTTATTCCTTTAAGATTCCTACCAACTCTCACATGGTATGATTCCATGATTCTTCATCCTTTCTTTCCTTTTCCTTCTACTAAGTATCAGTTTCTAGGTTAAATCAACCAAAAGTAGAGAGGAGTCAACACCCCTCTGAAAATCATCTGTTCAGAGGGCAAAACCAACTTGACACAACTTGCAAGTAAAACAAAAATATGATCCCCTAGGTTAAACAGTTGTGTTGGGCCTCCTCACATCTGGATTATTATTGTAGACACCATACCCAAGGAGGGTCCTGAAAGCCTTCCTGAATCCCTCTGCTACCTACAGATATCCATGTTAAATTCTTTTCACAAGATTTGCAATTTGATAAAAGGTGAATTTGCCTGGCCATTTTGCCTGGCTCTAGGCACTCACCAATTCCCATTAAGGCAGCAATGAGGGTAATTTATTGATTCACATACCCAGATTATGCCATTGGACTTGGCCTTTTGAAGGGAGAGTCGATACACAGGCAGAGGAAAGTATATTGTTCAGAAAGGAGAAGGGCTACAAATAGGGACAGAGACGTGGTTGGTTTCATGGAAGGGAAATCTGTGCACTTTTGAAGTTCCTATAGGTAACCATATAGCTCCAAAGATGGAATCCAGGGATGGCATCCCGGAGCCAAGCCAAGAACAACTGAAACTTGATCCAGAAGCAGTGGAAAGGCAGTAGAAAAACAATAGAAAACTTTTTTGATTAAGCTTCCTGGGCCCATTAGAGTAGTTCCTAGATGATGAAACTGGAACCAATG